ATATATATATATCTATATATATATATATATATATATATATATATATATATATATATATATTCTTATAGTGTAGTCGATAAAGACTTTTAATGTAAAAAAAGTCTTTTTCGACTTCAATTTTGCTACCTTGACAACTAAGTTACATTTTGTTGTTGTCGAAATGTCAAAGCAATTAAATTAATGCAGAAGTAAATTAAATTTTATTGTTTTTAAAAAAAATCACAATAATAATGACTAGAAAGTTTTTTTAATTAATAGTGTTTTTGTTGTTGTTTTATTAAAATATATTTTAAAAACATGCGCGTCATGTTTCTATATCAACTACCTTATAGTCTGTCTCATAATGGAGTGTTGCTCCATCGATTATCTTATACCCTGACTCGCAACAGAGTGTTGCTACATCAACTTTCTTATGACCTGACACACAAGGGAGTGCTACTACATTGACTGACGAATAGCCTGATTTGCAAGGGAGTGCTGCTACATTGACTGAGGGTTTGGTTAAGGCAGGCAGTCTATCATTTAATAAAAAAAAAATTATTCAAGTTTTTAAATTATTTCTGGTCTGGTTTAATAGCGCTCTCTTACAACTACACTTTATGGGAATAACTTTTGACTACCATGCAAGACTATATATATATATATATATATATATATATATATATATATATATATATATATATATATATATATATATATATATATATATATATATAGATATATATATATATATATATATGTCCTTGTATGTTATATATACATATATATAAATTATGTTAGTGTATTCTACAAATAGAGCGCTCAATGTTCTTACAAGAACAGAGCGATAATATTTATATAATATTATATATATATATATATATATATATATATATATATATATATATATATATATATAATATATATATATATATATATTAGTGTAGTCAGCACTGAAGACCAAAAACCTTGTCTGCAAGCTGACATTGACAACATTGTTAATTGGATTCAAGAATGTCTTATGGAAATACATATTAGAAAATGTACAATAATGCATTTTATCCAATCCAAATCCATTCCACACCAATACTTTATTGATGACCGTGGCTCAAACAACAGTCTCAACAGAATTCAGCTTGAATCAAACTTATCAGAAAGAAACCTTGGCATTTCAATATCCAATTATCTAAAGCAAAATTTCCAAACATCTATTGCTGCACCAAGGCTAATAAAAAGCTTGGTATCCTAAAACACAGCTTTATAAGCAGGGATGCACAAACTCTGGAAAAACCTATATACAACTTATTTTGCTTATATACAACTTATATCGCTTATATACAACTTATATTGCTTATATACAATTTATATAGCTTATATATAAATTATATTATTTTATATAAATTATATCGCTATATACAATTTATATAGCTCTCCTTCATATAAAGACTGTGCTTTTTTTGATGTTATTTTTTATCATATTGACCGAGCCCTCTCTCTTTATCCATCAACCAATATTGTTGTTATCGGTGACTTTAATGTTCATCATACTGAATGGCTTGACTCTAGTGTCAGTGACTTTGCAGGCATTAAAGCCCACAACTTTTGCCTTACTCAATCCCTAAACCAAATAGTCAACTTTCCAAGTCGCTTTCTAAACAACCTGAATCATTTACCTTTTCTACTCAACTTATGTCTTGTTTCTGATCCTAGTCAGTGCTCAGTTTCTCCAAAGCATCCTTAGATTCCTCTGATCACAGTTTGATCTAAAACTATTATCTCATTCTTATTTATCATCAGAATCTCCTATCATTGTACATCTTACAACTAACTTAAAGATGACTGGGACTCTTTACGTGATTTTCTTCATGATGGCCCTTGGGTAGAAATCTTTCGTCTTCCTGTTAACAATGTGCTTCTTACATAACTTCGTGGATTCAGGCTGGCATGGAATCCTTTATTCACTCTTGACAATTCCAGGTCAAGTCTCACTCTTCTCTGTGGTTTTTCTCACATTGTGCTGCTGCAATTACCAATCGAAACCATTACTTTCATATCTATCAGCAAAACAATTCTCCAGAAAACAGATGTCTGTTTATTACTGCTAGGAACCATTGTAAAAAGATTTTGTCTAATGCCAAAGTCCGCTATTCTCGGGTCATGAAATCTTGTATTTCATCACAAAAAATTAGTCTCTCGTAACTTCTGGAGAATCTTTAATAGTATCAATAATAAGGGCAAGTCTGTAATTCCACCTCTTTTGGTTCAGACTTTGTCACCTCACCTAAAGACAAAGCTGAATTGTTTGCTGAGAACTTTTCATCAATATCATCTCTTGATTCCACTAGTTGCGTTCTACCTGATATAGCCATCAAACAGGTTGATCTATTGCTCGACATTCACATACCCCCAGCTTCTGTATCTATAGTGATTTTCTGCTTAGACTCTTCTACAGCTTGTGGCCCGGACAACATACGTGTTATAGTCTTGCAGAAGTGTTCTCCGGAGCTGTCGTCTATACTTTCAAAACTATTCAACAAGTGCTTATCAGAGTCTTGTTTTCCAGCCTGCTGGAAAGCAGCATCTGTTAACCCTATTTTTAAAAATTGGAGAGCTATCTGATTTATCTAACTACCATCCTATTGGTCTTATTCCTATCATATGCAAGGTTTTTGAATCTTTAATTAACAAACACTAATCTCTCATCTCGAATCTAACAACTTACTTTCTGATCATCAACATGTGCTTATCAGAGTCTTGTTTTCCAACCTGCTGGAAAGTAGCATCTGTTAACCCTATTTATAAAAGTTCTGGAGAGCGATCTGATTTATTTATCTATTGTCCCATTGGTCTTCTTCCTATCATAAGCAAGGTTTTTGAATCTTTAATTAAGTTCTTTGGAATTCGTTTCCTTCATCTTGCTTTCCTAATTCATATAATTTGCAATCTTTTAAGTTGTCTGTCAATTGTTATCTTGCTCTACAATCTTCGTCTTTTCTCTTCCAGTAACTTCCAACACTAATTAGTGGTTGCTTGCAGCCTTGTTGGAAGCAAAGATGTATAAAAAAAAATAAATAAATAAAAAATTAACAAACACTTAATCTCTCACCTTGAATCTAACAACTTAATTTCTAATCATCTGATATGGATTTCAATCTTCTTGTTCTACGGCTGATTTGCTAACAGTAATAACCAATAGGTTTTATTGTGCATTAGATAAAGGTGGAGAGGTTAAAGCCATTGGTCTTGACATTTTTAAAGCGCTTGATAAAGTAAGGCATGCTGGTCTTCTCCATAAACTTTCTTCTTACGGTGTATCTGGAAACATCTTTAAGATTATTGAATCCTTCTGTTCCAATCGTAGTATAAAAGTTCTCCTCAATGGGCAGCACTCTTATTCTTATTCTGTAACCTCAGGGGTTCCTCAAGATTTAATTCTTGGCCCTATACTTTTTTTAATTTACATTAACGATCTTCCAGATATTCTCACATCTAAGGTGGCATTGTTCGCTGATGATACTACCATTTATTCTTGTCATGATAAGAAGCCAACACTCTCTGATTGCTTGAAGTATGCATTTGAGCTTGAAAAGGATCTCACTTCTGCTACAGCATGGGGCTTACAGTGACTGGTGAACTTTAATTCAGATAAAACTCAATTTTTTTCACCCAATTGTTAATGCAATAATTTAGACCTTCCTATATTTATACATGATAATGTACTCGATGAATCATCTACCCACTACTTCTTTAGGATTAACTTTTACTTCCAATCTTTCTTGTAAACCATATATCAAATCTGTTGCAAAATTAGCATCTGCTAAAGTTGCATCTCTTTATCGAGCTTGACACTTTTTTTTACTCCGGATTCTATTCTCTTTCTCTATAAATCTCAAATCCGGCCTTGTATGGAATACTGTTGCCATATCTGGGGCTGATTTTCTAACAATGCCCTTTCTCTTTTAGACAAGGTGCAAAAACGCATTGTAAACATAGTTGGACCTGCTCTTGCAGCCAACCTTCAACCATTATTGCATTGTCGTAATGTCGCTTTTATTTCTCTTTTCTACAAATACTATAATGGGCACTCCTCTAAAGAGTTATCGTCTCTTGTGCCATCTACTAAAATTCATTCTCGTGTTACTTGTCGTTTAAGTCTCATCCTTTTTCTGTGACTGTTCCTAAGTGCTCTAGAAACTCTTATTCCTCTAGTTTTTTTCCTTGAACATCAGTTATTTGGAATTCTTTTCCTTCATCTTGTTTTCCTGATTCATATAATTTTTAATATTTTAAGTCGTCTGTCAATCATTATCTTGCTCTACAATCTTCATCTTTTCTCTTCCGATAAATTCCAACTCTAATTAGTTGTTGCTTGCAGTCTTGTTGGAAGCATAGATGTTTAAAAAATATATATACATAGGTCCACTTTAAAAATTTTCCATTTCCTCTGGGTATCCTTATTTAAAAGAGGTCATTTCTGTAATTGACGCAAACAAAGCAGTGGCGTGTTACAAAAGTACCGCAAGAAATGAAGTCTTTGATTATAAATCAAGATGTACAAACTTGGTCTCACTTTTCTATGCGAACGAAGAAAACGATTGCATCTCATTTAAAAATTTAAATCAGAGAATATAATCTAGCTAGTTTATTAATCCAATTAACATTTCCCTCCAGCTATGGATGTCGCATCTGGTACCATCGTGAAATCAACAAAAACTGTCAAGTCCGATATAACTTTTTTAACAACCGTGTAGCAAACGAATGGAATGTCTTGCGAGACAATGTAGTAAATACTACCTAAGTTAAAAAGTTCAAAACTAATTTAGACTGGCATTTAAAACAGTTACCATAGAACATCATTTTCCATGGCTGCTTCAATGCTGCTATACAAACTGGGGTTACTTTGATACCCGGTGTAACATTGATAATTTTTTTAGAATTATTTTTTCAGTATATTATCGTAATATATTTTTAATACTTTTATTATCTTTTCTATTTTCAGGTTAGAAATAAATAAACACTAATGAAAGGTTTACAAAGATTTCACTAAATTGATTTGAAAGGTATAAAACATTAAAATTGTTAGAAATAAAATAAAAATTACAAAAGTTTTTTGTAATTTTTTTGTAAAAAAGTGTAAAAAACATATTCTAAACAGTAATAAAATACTATAAAAACATGTTTTTTTATATGCCTATAGGTACATACCTACCTATCCGTAATATGAGGACCTACAAGAGGAAAGACGGGAATCGTGCTTATTGTTCACATTCAGAAACTCAGTTGTCAGTGGCCCTTCAATGTTGCCGGAAGGGTACTATGAGTTTGCTAAAAGCATCTAAAAATTTAAAATTCTATATGGGACATTGTACAACAGAATGAAAGGTAAACATGAAAAAAAAGTCGGACATCCAGTAGCACTTTCTTCTAATTGCAAGAACCACGGTTTTTAAAAGCAATAAACGTTCTTTGTGATTGGAAAATGCCTGTTGATGAATTAGATATTCGTTTAATGGTAAAATATTATCTGGTTAACTCCGGTGTTAAAAACAGACAGTTTAACATCAATTTACCAGGGATCGATTGAATGCTAAGTTTTATCAAACGCCATAAGCTGACAACACTCATTGCTGACAATGTAAAACCTTCACGCGCAGAGGTTTGTGGACAAACTGTGAATGCTTACTTTGATGAATTAGCGAAGACATTAGAAGGTGTTGAACCCTGTAACATTTATAACAAGACTAATCTTTTGGATGACCCTGGCGCAAAATCAATCATATGCAGATGAGGACTTAAAAGAGTCAAACGTAAAATGCAACATTCAAAGAGTTGAGTAAGCATCATGTATTGTGGAAATGCTATTGGAGTATTCTTACCACCTATGGTAGTATATAAGTCTCAAAATATTTATCAAAAATGGACCAGAGGTGGCCCAGAAGGAACTTGCAATGACAAGACAGTCAGGTTGGTTTGATTTAAGAACCTTTGAATGCTGGTTTTTAGAAATATTTCTTTCTAACGTTAGTAAAGATTATGGACCAAATTCATCTTTGGTGTCATCATTGGTGACAATTTTATCTCTCATTTTTCTCTTCCAGTCATTGAGGCCGCCCAAATGAATAACATTCGTTTCACCTGTTTGGTACCAAATGCAAGTCATCTCCTTCAACCACTGGGTGTCACAGTTTTTAGATCCATGAAGAAAGAATGAAAGAGAATCCTGGAATGTTAGCAAAAAGAAAGTCGCATCAAAGGTACAATACCAAAGACACATTTTTAGTTGCATCAAAGACTAAAAGAACAAAATCTGATTTCTGGCTTTTCAGCTTGCAGAATATCTCCATTAAACAAAGACGAAGTCTTGAAAAGACTGCCAAAATTTAATAATTTTTGACATTTTTTCAACCAACTTTGTATTTTTTTGGATAGTATCAGGTGTACTAGGTTTATTAATCTTTTTTATAAGCCTAAAAAACTATCAATGAAGCCCTGTGATGGGGTTAACTTAATATTTAATTGAAATAATATTTACTATCGAAGTAACCATGCGGGATTACATTGATAACTGTTTGCGGGATTACATTGATAACTGTTTTTATTATTCAACTACTATTTAAACTATTTAACAATAAAGGCATAAATGAAATAATAGACAATCAAGACATATATGAAATAATAGACAGTATAATAAAAAAGAAAACTTATAAAAATTTAATCAATATTCATATACCAAAAAACAATAATAATAAAGTTAGCTATAATTCTATCGAATGGTTATTATCTTGTAAGCATTTAATACAGTTGATCTTAAAGTAATAATTGCTAAAGTAAAAACTTATGGTTTCAACAAAATATTTACAAATTGGCTATACAACTTTTTCTAGAACAAGCAACAAAGAGTTGTAATTAATAATGAAGTATCTGAATTGCTTCCAGTATTAAGTGGTGTACCACAAGGTGAAGTTTTATCACCACTTTGAAGATTTTTTGCTATTTGCAGATAACAGTAAGTTTATTGCTATTTGCAGATAACAGTAAGTTTATTGCTGAAAAAAACCAAAAAGATCAAGAAATATTACAAGATGATCTTAATAAATGAATAAAAAAAAGTTAAATGGACAAAAAATTAGAACATGAAATTATAAAATAAATTATAGCAAAAAATGCTAAGTTAACCAAATAAAAAAATTAATTGTCCAAATAAACTAAGTTACCCTTTTTATATAACTACCCACGATGAATACACACACACACACACACACACACACACACACACACACACACACACACACACACACACACACACACACACACACACACACACACAGATATATATATATATATATATATATATATATATATATATATATATATATATATATATATATATATATATATATATATATATATATGTACATTAACATTTTATTAGGTATATATTTTTATTTAGATGTTTATATACATAAAATGATTGTAATTTATATTTGAAAAGTTTGCATACCTTGTGCAGACTTCTTCCATGCATTCAAATCACACAGTAATATCAGTTAGCAACGGAAGCGCAGGAAGTAAAGGAAGAAGTCGTTTTGAGGTGATTTTTATTTTTATCAAAGTGTATGAATGTTTTTAAAGACAAAAATACAGACAAGAACAAAGTACTAAAACTAATTAAAAACTACAAAAAAATGTAACTAAAATTACATTGTTTACTTAAAAAATTGAATAATATTTAATTACTATTATTAAATGTGTTTTTTTTATGTTTCTCACTGTTTGGATAAGAGTTATTCTGAATATAGCATTTTTGCATCGAGGTAACTGTAAACATATGTTTTTGTTCAATTTAGCTCAACACTCAACATTAGCTTAACATGACATATACATTAGAAGATTACTTTAAAAAAAAACTAAGAAAATCATTGCATAAAAGCAAATTTCTTGTATAGATTAGCCTTATAAAAATGATAAAAACGTTTTTTTTTTTTTTTTTTAAAGTTAAATAAAAAATTTTAACATCATTAAAAAAAAAAATTCTTTTATAATATCTTTAAAATAAGAACAAAAAAAGTTGAACTCTAATATCAAAAATGTTGTCTTATGAGGCTGTGTACTTGTGTGAAATATTTAGTATATAAGTCTATATATATATATATTACCCTTTTTTTAATACAAATTGAAAATTGTAATTTTAACGACAAATCATTTATATTATGTAACTATCAATTATATTATATTATACAATTATAAAGTTTTATAACCTTATAATTGTATAATTTTTTCTTTATACTTGTAATTTTTGGTTTTAATTTCTAATTTTTGATTTTAAAAGTTTTATGTTATCTATTTTTATTTTTAGGGTTATCTTTCTGACACTTTGACAGGATTAATTAATAAAAAACTACACAAGGAACTTTTTTTAAGGTTGGTTTTTAAGGTTGTAATGCAGCCATATCAGTTATGTACTTTTGAGGATTTTTTATTGGCTTTTTCATTAATTTTCAAGTTTTTGCCATTACTTATTTTTAAGAAATTGTTATTTTTAAAATATGTTATTTTTAAAAAAGGTTATTTTTTAAAATTAGACATGGTTAACTAAAGCTATTTTAGTATTGCTTTATCTTTTACATGGCTAATTAAAAGTTTTAATATTAATTTCTTTATAAAAAATCTATTTAATTTTATTTGTTACAATAAAAATGTTTTAGTTCACTTTTTTGCTTTTATTTTTTGATTTGATTATTAATTTTTCTTTTATTCTTGTTTCACTACTGCCATGTTTATTTTTTTATTTGCACTTTCAATTTAAGGAGACAAAATAATGAAGCATAAAAAAAGCCACTGTTTTTATACAATTAATAAATGTTTTTGTACATTTAATAAATGTTTTTGTACAATTAATAAATGTTTTTGTACATTTAATAAATGTTTTTATACAATTGATAAATGTTTTTGTACATTTGATGAATGTTTTTATACAATTAATAAATGTTTTTATACAATTAATAAATGTTTTTATACAATTAATAAATGTTTTTATACAATTAATAAATGTTTTTGTACAATTAATAAATGTTTTTGTACATTTAATAAATGTTTTTATACAATTGATAAATGTTTTTGTACATTTGATGAATGTTTTTATACAATTAATAAATGTTTTTATACAATTAATAAATGTTTTGATACAATTGATAAATGTTTTTGTACATTTAATAAATGTTTTGATACAATTGATAAATGTTTTTGTACATTTGATGAATGTTTTTATACAATTAATAAATGTTTTTATACAATTAATAAATGTTTTTATACAATTAATAAATGTTTTTATACAATTAATAAATGTTTTGATACAATTGATAAATGTTTTTGTACATTTGATGAATGTTTTTATACAATTAATAAATGTTTTTATACAATTAATAAATGTTTTTATACAATTAATAAATGTTTTTATACAATTAATAAATGTTTATAATATGGCCCCACCCTGTTTGGAGATAGAACAAAATAACTTTTAAATTTTAATTTTGCGTTAATATTATTTTGTGCTATCTCCATTTTTTAGTAAATACAACTTGAATGTTTTGCAAGGAGTTAATGGATTACAAGAAATTACTTTTAATTTAGGGATTTAAAAGCAAATATAGACACTAAAACACTTAGTTGGCAAATTTTAATGGATATGGTCATTTAATAAGTTTTCTAGATATATTGCTTCTGGTAGGATGGGCAGCTTCAATTTTAACAAACTGATTTTAACCAAAGCTATATTATTTATAATAAAATTACTTTTATCTAAAAAGATTTATTGAAAATAAAAAATAAATGTCTTTAATACAAATAACAAGTTAAGAACAGTTTAAATGAACCTTATACAAGATAAAACTGAATAGTGCATAGCACAAATAAAGTATATCCGGATAAAGAGTTGAAAAAACAACTACTGAAGTAATGTTTTATAGAAACAAGCATATAAAACTGGCATGTAAGGATGCATAGAAACAATGTCTTTTATCTTCTCAGTAGAAATTTCAAATTTTTTTCGAAAACAAGATGCCAATGAAATTGATGATTCTTCAAGATGACTTCCTGATGATCGAGTGTTTTTTGGCTTAGACAGACGTGCCTCTTTATAAATATCTGTAAAACGAGTCTTGAAATACACATGGCCAGGAGCATTAAACCTAAATACAAGCGTTTTAGCATTAAAGTATGGAATATTTTTAAAGTTCAGAAGACCAGTAGTTTTTGAAAAATTTTTATTGTCGCTTTTTTGCATTTGGTATACAAAAAATGGTTTACGTTGGTTAACATTCAACATTGCTTTCACCAACCCAAGAGAACTAAATATTTCTGCTGAATGTAATGATTTCTCAATCTGACTATGTATATTATCACATTCCTGAATAGAACTGTGCCCTGGCTCACTTTACTTTTGCTCAATGATTTCAATATTTGGATGATCAATAAGAAACTCACGCAATGCACCTGACATATGACTGTTTCTATTCTCTGGAACACAAGAATCAAACCAAAGTATAAATTTGTTAATATTAGGAAGATCCTTGTAAACTTTATTTAGCATACATATCACAGCACTGGCAATGTCATTACCAGAACGACCTGACATACCTTCATGCCATAATATACAATATGCTTTTTTGTTCAGTGAAGAGTGACCTGTTAAGTTATAACAGCTGAGCTTTTTTTTGTAAAAGAAGTTTCCCACATTACTTTTCGTCAAGCTCAAGACATTTTGTAGATCAATACAAACTTTGGTTGTGGAAGGGGAGTTCAACTTTCGATTCATATCTCCCTCGATTTTTGTTTCATTCTTTGATGCAATATGCTTGTTATACTTTTGGATTTGCTCTTCATTTGCATCTTCAATAATTTGAAATTTGTAATATGTATCACACAGATCCTTTTTCGACTTTTGAAATTCAATATTAAATTTTGTATTAAAAACATTGCAGTACATACATGCCTTTGTTGGTGAAATTTCATATTGAGTGCAATATGTTAAATACAAATTATAAAGTTTCTTCAAATTTAATGACCCATCAAAGTATTGTTTGCAGGAAATGCTTCAACAATAGTGTGACTCGACTTGTGGAAACAAGTTGATATGGTTTTCTATACTCTGTTTAGTTATTTCAAGAACTTTTTTTTACAATGTTTTCCCCATTTTGTTGGGGCAGGAACACCAGTTTCAAGTTTATTTTCATGATATTATGATATTTGCCGGCTGCTGATGTCTAATGTAGACAAATAAAACTCCTTACATACACAATGCTTGATATTATCAACAAAGAAATTGTAAAAATAAGTATATTTTCTCCTTGAATTGCTTACTTTTTTGGTTCGAGATCTTTTTTTATCTAATCGTTCAGTAATTTTACTAAAAAAGTGTTGCTTTTCAATCTGAGACATTCCCCACAGTCCATTAAATAATATTTTTCTTTTGTCTTCTGAAATCTTTTCAAAACACTTAAACTTGCAACAATTTTTACAATCTTTTTTTACTTTTAGTACTTCTTGGTTGAATAACTTTGCCTCTAAAATTTATATATTCCTTTCCTGATTGTCGAAATTGCTTTCTTTTTGACTGTTTCCAGTTATAACAGTTTGCTTTACATTTTCTTGTTTTCCCACCGTGTGGAGGTAATCGTAGTTGATCAGTAATTAAAGGATGCTTTGAAACATAGGGTTTAACCATGATATTAGCTTGTTGTGGGTAATCTGAAAATAAAAATTAAACATAAAAAAGGTTATGCAATGTAAAATAATTTTATGTTTCAAGATATATTATTTTAAGAGGCAAATTTTTTCCATATATGAAACGATTCATTTGAGTCTTTATTTATTTAGTATATAAAACGTGTTGTATATACTAAATAAACAAAGACTTACGGAATACATGAGGTTATTTAATATACTATTGTATGTTTCACATACTCATACAATATATACATACGCGAATAAAAAATATATACACATATAGTATATGTGTATCATGGATTATATAACCGATTCTGTTGTATATTTGACATATACAATAGTGTATATATATAACCATATATATTATATGATATATATACACTGTATGTCACATATACAACAGAATTCATGAGCTTTTAATTAGATGATGATACATTTCTTACTAAAATAATATGTAGAATTATGAATAATTATTAAAAAAAGCCGATGGACACTAGAATATATAAGAGAATACCTATATTTTTGTTTATTACTCTAAGATATACACTATTTTCATCCGCCATTTTAAAATTAAATTGGAGGAAATAAACACGAACTCATTACTTAATGTGATTTATACGCAATTTTATTGGTTGTTGGAAATATAACAAAATGACATTAAAAACTGTTGATATTTTGCAAATAGAACAATTGGATACACCTGATTTGACACTATTAAAAAAAAAATTTAATTTCAAAAATAATACATCTAAAAAGAAAAATTAACAATAAAAAAGAAATTGGTATTAACTCATTTTTTTCAAATTTAGAGATAGAACAAAATAATTTTAACCTGAGGATTTAATAAATGTTTTTATACAGTTAATAAATGTTATAATTATAGAAAGTTATAAGCGTGTAGTTTGGTTATAATCAGTAAGTTTTGTAATGAAATAATTTTAAAGTTTATTTATTTTATTAATTATGATTAAAGAATTGATTATATATAACTGTTAGTATGTGATAAGAGTAAATATTCATGTACATTATCTATAAAGTTTTTTTTTTATTTTTAGGATATTTTCCTACTTAGATATTGTTAGTCTTTGCAGATGTGCCCAAGTTTCTAGGGTATGGTGTTAAAATCATTAGTTACAAAGTTGTGTGTGGTATTTTTTTTATACACATTTCATAATACATTATTAAACAGCGCTTTCACAAAAAAAAGATGACTAGAAACTAGAGCTTTGAAAAAGTGAAAATTAGTAATTTTTAGTGATGAAAGCAACTTTATGGTAAAAAATTGAATAAGAAAATTCTTGTTAGAAGGTTAAACTGAATAGTATAATTCCAAACAGCTTTAAATTTATTGGAGTTTTTGTAGCAATAATACAGCTTTAGTCAAACAACACTTGTATATAAAACAAATCTTTGCACTTTTTTTGAAAACACTGCATATATATTCATTTGTAATGTATTATAAATTGTGAAAATTTTATAAATGATATGAGTCATAAGAGGATAAAGTCTTATTTATTGTCAGGTTTTAAATACTCATTAATTGTTTTTCATTAGTGCCTTTGCCTATTTATATATATATATATATATATATATATATATATATATATATATATATATATATATATATATATATATATATATATATATATACAATGCTCGAAGTGAAGCGGGATGAGGCGGGATGCCATCCCGTTACCTTTTTATAAACAATAAACCATCCCGCCACTTTTTTATAAACTCTATATATATAACAATGATTAGGCGGGACTGTATTTTTAATTTACCAAATACCATTCTGTTACTTTTTTTCTCCGCTTTGAACACTGTATATATGCATATATATATATTTATATATACATGTGCGTATATATGTGTGTGGTTCCATCCTAATCATTTACAACCCCTTCTTCCTCCAATGCGCTTCTGCATGGTATTTGCAGACCCCTTCCTCCTATAAGCATGTGTACTTTATGAACAACCCCTTACTTGGAATTATTCGTGTCCATGGAAGCATGATTTGGACTTTGTAGCAACAATCACTAATGATGCCAGTGCAATGATCAAGTTTCTTCAGTTTAATGATTAAGTTTGGAAAAGAGGCTAGTCCTATTCACATCGTCTCACACATACAAATCATTTTTTTGTTTGTGATATAACTTTATAAATATAATAAGGTAATTAATGATGTAACTGAGGAAGATAATTATGATGAAACATAGGTGGGATGTGATGAATCTAAAAGTGAATCAAACCTGAGTCAAAACTGGACCCAGTTATGGATGATGAAAGTTTCTAATCTCAAAATGTTTAGTCTTTTAGGAGTCAGTTTGTCAGGTCAGGTTTATCCTGCTACTCGTAACATGTAACCCAGTATAATCTGCTTCATGTCCTACTGCCTTGTAGTATACGTCTTTTTAGGCAAAGGCTAGGAGATACCAACTCCGAAATAAAACACCCCCTGCCTTGGGGCTGTAGATAGTGTCTCAATAAAAATTTTCATCATGGGCAGATGTTAAATGCATCTAGCTGCTGTCTTTTAGAAGGCCTCCTAGGCAATGATTAGGATGTTGAACGCTGGATCTTCTTGACTTGATGCATGGGTTTTGCTTGTGTCTCTGTTTTTATGACTACGCAACTCATTCTATTATCTTCTAATAAAGGTACAGCTCTGAAATTCAGTTTTATGGTCCTGAGGTCGGCTGTTTCCCGAACTCTGTGGTAGCTCTCAAGGAGGCTGATTCCATCAACAGCTGAAAAATATCAAAGTACTAACAGTGTCATGTTGTGCATGGATGGTGTCCCTGTTTGTACTTTTAGTGTGCATTGCCAAGGCCACATTGGAGCCCTTTGTTAGGGCTTAGAGTTTATTAATAGTAATGAGGCAATTGCTTGGGCTATTAAACAGTGTACTGAGTACTATCTATGTTTCGAGTCAAGTTCTTTAACAAATTATATAATAAAAATGAATAAAGTAACAAAAACTATAAAACACAAAAAATCACAGTCATCACCAAGTTTGCTAAACCTATCATTCACTAATATTCGTGGTCTTCGAAGTAACTTTCCTTCTGTTGAGTCTTATCTCTTGTAAAGTTCACCAGACTTACTTGCTCTTTGTGAGACTAATTTGAGTTCGGCTGTCTCATCTTGTGATCTTAGTGTTGATGGTTATCTTCCTTTAACTCGTAAAGACTCCAATAGTCACATACTTGACCTGGGCATTTACATTCGTAAGAATTCACCCATTTGTCGGGAAACTAGGTTTGAATCCACAGACTACTCTTTTATGTGTTTCGTTTAGCACCACTTCACTCTATCACCTTTCTCTTTGTTCTATATTGCTCTCCTTAATTTCAAGACTGCACTCTTCTTGATGTTATTTCTAATCGTATTGACCAAGCCCTCTTTATCCATCAGCCAATATTATTGTTGTTGGTGACTTTAATGTTCATCACACTGTATGGCTTAGCTCTAGTGTCAGTGACTCGGCAGGCATTATAGCCCACAACTTTTGCCTTCTCAATCCCTAACTCAAATATTCAACTTTCCAACTCGCTTTCCAGACAACCTGAATCATTTACCTTCTCTACTCGACTTATTTCTGATCCTAGTCAGTGCTCAGTTTCTCCACATTCACCCTTAGGTATCTCTGATCACAGTTTGATCTCTCTAAAACTATTATCTCATTCTTCTTTATCATCAGAATTCCCCTACCATTGTACATCTTACAACTACCGTAAAGCTGACTAGGACTCTTTCCATGATTTTCTTCATGATGGCTCTTGGGTAGAAATCTTTAGTCTTCCTGTTGACAAATGTGCTTCTTACATAACTTCAGGCTGGCATGGAATCCTTTATTCCCTCTTGACAGTTCCAGGTCAAGTCTTACTCTTCTCAATGGTTTTCCTCACTTTGTGCTGCTGCAATTGCTAATCAAAACCAAAAGCAAAAACAATTCTCCAGAAAACAGACTTCTATTTATTACTGCTAGAAACCATTGTAAAAAGGTTTTGTCTAACACCAAAGCCCGCTATTCTCAGATCATGAAATCTCGTATTTCATTACAAAAACTAGGCTCTCGTAACTTCTGGAGAATCTTTAATAGTATAAATAATAAGTGCAAGTCTGTAATTCCACCTCTTTTGTATGGTTCAGGCTTTGTCACCTCACCTAAAGACAAAGCTGAATTGTTTGCTAAGAACTTTTCATCAATATCATCTCTTGATTCCACTAGTTGCGTTCTATCTAATATAGCCATCAAACAGGTTGATCGATTGCTTGATATCTTTATCACTCCAGCTTCTTTATCTAATGTGATTTCCTGCTTAGACTCTTCTACAGCTTGTGGCTCGGACAACATACGTGTTATAGTCTTGCAAAAGTGTTCTCCGGAGCTGTCATCTACCCTTTCAAAACTATTCAACAAGTGCTTATCAGAGTCTTGTTCTGTTATCCCTATTTTCAAAAATTCTGGAGAGCTATCTGACTCATCTAACTACCGTCCCATTTGTCTTCCTATCATAAGCAAGGTTTTTGAATCTTTAATTAACAAACACTTAATCTCTCATCTTGAATTTAATAACTTACTTTCTGATCATCAATATGGATTTCGATCTTCTCGTTCTATGGCTGATTTGCTAACAGCAATAACCAATAGGTTTTATCGCGCGTTAGATAAAGGTGGAGAGGTTAAGGCCATCTTTACATTTCTAAAGCATTTGATAAAGTTTGGCATGCTGGTCTTCTCCATAAGCTTTCTTCTTATGGTGTATCTGGTAACATCTTTGAAATTATTGAATCTTTCCTTTCCAATCGTAGTGTAAAAGTTGTCCTTGACGGACAGCACTCTTCTTCTTATTCTGTAACCTCAGGGGTTCCTCAAGGTTTTATCCTTGGCTCTATACTCTTTTTAATTTACATTAACGATCTTTCAGATATTGTCACATCTAAGGTGGCAAAATTAGCATCTGCTAAAGTTGCATCTCTTTATCTAGCTCAACACTTTCTTACTCTGGATTCTATTCTCTATCTCTATAAATCTCAAATCCGGCTTTGTATGGAATACTGTTGCCATATCTAGGGTGGATTTTCTAATGATGCCCTTTCTCTTTTAGACAAGGTGTAAAAATGCATTGTAAACATAGTTGGAACTGCTCTTGCAGCTAACTTTCAACCTTTATCACATCATCGTAATGTTGCTTCTTTTTCTCTTTTCTACAAATACTTTAATGGACACTGCTCTAAAGAGCTAGCGTCTCTCATGCCATCTACTAAAATTCATTCTTGTGTTACTCGTCATTCAATTAAGTCTTATCCTTTTTTCTGTTACTGTTCCTAAGTGCTCTAAAAACTCTTATTCCTCTAGTTTTTTTCCTCAAACATCAGTTCTTTGGAATTTGCTTCCTTTATCTTCCTTTCCTAATTCCTATAATTTGCATTTATTTTAAGTCATCTATCAATCGTTATCTTGCCCTGCAATCTTCATCTTTTCTCTTCCAGTAACTTCCAACACTAGTTAGTGGTGTCTTGCAGCCTTGTTGGAAGCAAAGATGTTTAAAATATATAAATATATATATATATATATATATATATATATATATATATATATATATATATATATATATATATATATATATATATATATATATATATATATATGTATATATATATATATATATTCATATATATATATATATATATATATATATATATATATATATATATATATATATATATATATATATATATATATGTATATATATATATACATATATATATATATATATATACATATATATATATATATATATTATATATATATATATATATATATATACATATATATATATAGATATATATATATATATATATATATATATATATATATATATATATATATATATATATACGTATACATATATATATATATATATTTTATATATATATATATATATATATATATATATATATATATATATATATATATATATATATATATATATTATGTTCTTGTAAAACATTTGTTTTTTTTATTCCTGTTTATTATTTTTTATTATTTTTTATTATACATTTATTTTATACCTTAGAAGACATTTTTTATTTTTTAACGT